CCCTCTCTCCCTCCCTTCTCTATCTTCTCTTTCTTTCCTTCTTTCCTTCCTTCCTTCCTTTCTTCCTTCCTTTTTTCCTTCCTTCCTTCTTTCCTTCCTTTCTTTTTCTTTTGTCAGTTGTAAGGTTTGAACTCTGGGCCTAGGCACTGTCCCTGAGCTCTTAGCTCAAGGCTAGCACTCTACCACTTGAGTCACAGCACCACTTCTGTTTTTCTGGTGGATTATTCTCATGGACTTTCTTGCCCAGGCTGGCTTTGAACCGGGATCCTCAGATCTCAGCCTCCTGATCAGGATTACAGGGCTGAGCTACCAGTACTTGGCAAAAATGCATTTGGTTTTGGACTCTCACCCCTTCTCTTGCTCTCTCCCAATTTTTCCCCTCCTATCTGTACCTATAAGTTGTATAGTTCATTTTCAACATAGTGTCTAGTAAGTACCACTGTTGCATTTGCTCATCCTTTGTCTCTCCATTTCTATGCCCCCACTTCTTTGCTGCTTATTTAAATGTCTCTTGTCAAATTATCTGTTCAAATCTTTTGACTGTTATTATTGTTTTGTAATTTTTTTTTTTTTGGTCAGTTGTGGGGCTTGAACTCTGGGCTTGGGCGCTGTCCCTCAGCTCTTCAGCTCAAGGCGAGCGCTCTACCACTTGAGCCATAGCAACATTTCTGGTTTTCTGGTGGTTTATTGGAGATAAGAGTCTCACAGTCTTTCCTGCCCAGACTGGCTTTGAACTGAGATCCTCAGATATCAGCCTCCTAAGTACCTAAGATTACAGGCAAGAGCCACTGGCGCCCGGCTTTGTTTTGTAAATTTTTTATTGTTACTGTAAAAGTGATGGAAGCTGGGCACTGGTGGCTCACGCCTGTAATCCTAGCCACTCAGGAGGCTGAGATCTGAGGATTGCAGTTCAAAGCTAGCCGGGGCAGGAAAGACCGTGAGACTCTTATCTCCAATAAACCACTAGAAACTGGAAGTGGTACTGTGGCTCAAGTGGTAGAGCACTCGCCTTGAGCTGAAGAACACAAGGACAGTGCCCAAACCCAGAGTTCAAGTCCCATGACCAATAAAAAAAAAAAGCAGCAGCAGCAATATTCTACTGTCCCTGGGTCTTTGTACCATATTACAATTTCTTTTGCTTGGTGTCCATAATCTCTTTGACTCTTCATACATTCTTTATCTCAGTGCCCAATTATTGTGCATGTTCGCCATAAGTAATTATGTGTGTGAGAGGGAAGTGAGCAGAATAAAAACAATCTGTAGATAATCAAAATGTATCTGAAGCCAGGAGGCAAGTGGTAAGGCAATTCCCACACAAAATGGTCAGTGTTTAGCTAGTATTTGTTCCAAGATGCAAGGTGAAAACATAGGAGGAGGTCAGAAAAGGCAGCTCAGATAGAGATTTACTTAAACTGAGATCTTTAGGCTAGTAAGGACATTAAACTTAGAGGGGAATGAGTCTCTTGGCTGGCACTTGAACTGCTGCAAAATAGAAGAAGTATTGTTCTTCTTAGGAGAAATACCTAGAAGAGATTTTAGTGAGCAAAAATGAGGGATGAGCCGGGAGCTGGTGGCTCATGCCTGTAATCTTAGCTACTCAGGAGGCTGAGATCTGAGGATCGCGGTTCAAAGCCAGCCCGGGCAGGAAAGACCATGAGACTCCTATCTCCAATAAACCACCAGAAAACCGGAAGTGGCGCTGTAGCTCAAGTGGTAGAGGGCTCGCCTTGAGCTGAAGAGCTGAGGGACAGCGCCCAGGCCCAGAGTTCAAGCTCCACGGCCGACAAAAAAAAAAAAAAAAAAAAAAATGAGGGATGATAAAGTAATCCTATAATTTCCATTATTGTTACTATGTCTTAAATATATCTCATACATTCATTCTATGTTAGCAAATAGATACCATAAACTCAATGTAAACAATAATTAAGACCCTGATTTCTCTCATTTTAAAAAAAATAATAGATTTTTTGTTTTGGTCAGTCATGGGGCTTGAACTCTGGGCCTGGGTACTGTCCCTCAACTCTTCAGCTCTAGGCGAGCACTCTACCACTGGAACCACAGCACCACTTTCAATTTTCTGGTGGGTAATTGGAGATAAGAGTCTCATGGACTTTCCTGCCTGGGCTGGCTTTGAACTGCAATCCTCAGATCTCAGCCTCCTGAGTAGCTAGGATTACAGGCGTGAGCCACTGGCTCTAAGCAATAAGCTTAGATTTCTTTATTGGTTTCAATTTTTCCCATTCTGAAAGTGTTCAGCACATACTCTTCCAAGTTAAAAATTCCATATATATTATTAGTATTGCAAAAATGGAAGTTTTGGTGAAGTACAAGCAACAGATCATCAGATTAAACATAAGACAATAGATACTAAATTCTGAAAAGAAGTACTAAACCAGGATTTATAGGTCAACTGACATAACCTTTGATGATGTGATGAGATCAAGGAGGATATTGAGGGCTCCTACCACTTTCTTATTCCAAAAGTTTAACATGGACCCCTGTGGACAATCCAATGGACAGGGGACTGTTCCCACACTTAAACAAAACTGAAGGAAGCTGACAGCAGAAGCAAATAAAAAGTTGTTTCTGTTTCTACAGCAGTGCTGCATTGGGATATAAACCTTCAACCTCAGAATACCTACACAAATCTTGAGGGTTTCTCATAGACCAGATGTGGGCCACTCATACAAACACCAAAAGGATATGAGGCTGTCTTAGGAGACTGCCTAAATGTGTAAACATGTCTCAACAGAGAAAAGCCAGAAGCATCACAGGATTCACATGGGGCAAAGAAAGAAAGATATGTAAATAATCAGATGAATAGAGAAATGTATTTGCCTGAAGAAAACTGCAGGTGAGAGCTCACCAGTGATGATGATCTTCAGTGAACTCACCAAAGTACCTCAAAAGTCAGCTTTAAAAATCAGCCACAAGGGTTGGGAAAGTGGCTCAGTGGTAGAACACTTGCCTTGCATGCATGAGGCCCTGGGTTCGATTCCTCAGCACCACATAAGCAAAAAGAAAAAAGCCGGAAGTGGCGCTGTGGCT